AGAGAGAGAGAGAGATGGGAGGAAGGGGGGGACGCGCGTCATTCTGAACTGGGTCGATCTCGACGGTCTATAATCCAGCAATGCCGCCGACAAATGGAGTGCTAAATAATCTCTCGACGAGAGAGTGGAAAAACGAGCAATAGGCAGCGCACGAGTCCCGAAGCGGAGCGTCGCTCCGGTAATAAGTCATCGGTGGAGTATCGAGGAGACGATCCTGGGACACGTATCTCTCTCTCTCTCTTTCTCTCTCTCCTCGAGGATCCGGTTCGTGGGGGCAATTTTTTAAATTGCCACAATTAATTCTCGAAATTACGAGCATTTTCTCTTCGAATGGACACGATTTTCTCTCTCTCTCTCTCTCACGAGAATCGCGTGATCCCACCTCGATTCCGAATATCCAATATCCGAAATAATCACCGATAATCGGCGAGGGAAGAAATTATCCTTTAAAGATGCATCGATCTGAGACCGAATTCGAAATCGAAACGATTCCATCTAAAAGAGTAAACTACTCGACCACCAATTATACGAGTTCAAATCCTTCCGGGGATAATCGAAATAGAAGGAATAAGTTCGATCGATCGAATAAACAAATCCGAAAATTCGAAGATACGCGAATTTTTCACTTCTCACGTTAAACCGCATTAAGAGGAGATGAAACGGGAATTTTCCTCGATCGAGGCAGGAAGAGGCCCTCGTCGACTCTCGGCGGTTCTTCGAAAGGGCCGCGAGCCGGATGGAAAAAAGGAGGGAAGAAAGGGGGAAGCGAGATCCCGAGGCAAAGTCTGTTTGCCCGTTCTTGTCGGCCAGCCAGACAGCGGCAAAGGGGAACACCCTGTACATGCCAACGACATTCCCCAAGTGCAGCGTGCAGTTTTTCGCGGCTACCAGCGCGCAGACCCTGACGAGAGAGTGACTCACGGCGCTCCGATGCAAGGGCGAACACGCACGTGCCCTCCCTCCTCTCTGTCTCTCTCTCTCTCTCTCTCTCTCTTCTTCTTCTTCTTCTCTTTCGTGTGCAAAACGCGCCTCATGCGAGCACACGACCAACGTGCACGTGTACGATTCCTTCTGTACAGGGTGTTTGTCGCGAATCGATCGTGCTCGGGGTGCGAACATTCCAAGATTCTCGAGAGGAAGGCGGGGGGGGGGGGGGGTTTAAGGAAGAATCGATCGAAGATGTTTTCGAAATTCGTTTTTTTTTTTTTTTTTTTGGATTCGAGAGAACGAGGTTCGATTAATTGGGATAGAAAAAGCGAATGGAAAAAATATGAATTACGTGAGAAGAAGCGAGGGTAAAGATAATGCGTTTCGGTGGTGAAAAAATGGTGCACCTGTTCAATCAATCAAGCACCGAAATTGTCCAAATTGGAGTATAAAATATGTTGAATACCTGTCGATGCGCTTCCTTGTAATTTTAAATCGGACGTTTTTCTTTTTTTCTTAACCAGTCCATCACGATGCATAAAGAACTGAAAGAAGAAAAAAATAATATTATACGACGGCCGGATCTTAATGATCTCGAGAGAGATATAAAACGAAAATACTCTTACGAGCAACATGAAAAATAATTAAAGTTTGTTGCATCTCAATTATCTTGAAAAGAAAAAAAAAAAAAAAAAGCAAAATCGTTTTTGGATCAAAACAACCGAACCTCTTAGCAACAATTGAATTTGAACCAGGCTAGACATTTCCTTATCTCTCTGCGAACGCGCGATTTTATTCGAAACGAAATTACTTAAAACTCGTAGAAAAAGAAATGTCTATCGCAACGCAAGTGAATCGAAATCACGCCACCCAGTATAAAACGTACTCGAATTCGTGTGTACACGTATATATATATATATATACACTCCAGAGCATGTTCCCTTCGGAGGACGGGTTCGTCAGTGTGCAAGCGGATCGAAGATCGAAGGATCTTCACGAGCGAGAAGAGGAAGAAAGAAGAAGAAGAAGAAGAGGAGGAGAAGAAGAAGAAGAAGGAGGAGGA